TAATAAGAGGTGTGGATATTTATGCACCCAAATAACTAATACTTTGACATTATTTGCCACCTGTAAACGTCTCAAGGCAAGAGATGAAATATGTGCCCTTTATTTGAACTATGAGAGAAAAGATAAAGCTCAAAAAAACAATTTGTTTTACAAATAGTCCAACTTAAAGTACAAAGCAAATAGGAGCAACAAGAGTGTGACAAGTTACATTTTCTCCACTGTCAGAAAGTAGCATGAAAATAAGATACAAATTAGGTAGAGCTATGAAAATGTTTCAATGTGTTCAAAAGCCTAAAAGCAAATAGAGCAGAAGTCATCAAATGATCAAATCCCTTTTATTGTAAAATCAAATGATTATGTGCGCCAAGTACACACTCGATAACATTTATTCGTTTTAGTTTAGCTTTATTTATAAAGTGCCAAATTCACAATTATTAAATGAAAGTCAAATTTGAATAAATGTAAAGGTAGGAATACAACGACTGGGCAAAAAATACTGATAATTTTGGTACACTTATTCCTGAAGTAACTTTCACTATATCGTATGTTTTTCCACCTCAGGCTCCAGCTGCTTTTGTAAACACATAAAAATGTTGTCCACATTTTTTGTGGAGCCCTGCCAGAACCAAAGGACAACACAGCAGGGATGGGAGAACATGTTCTGCATGAGGTCACAAGAGGAGTGGAAGGAATGTGCTCGAGTGTGAAGGAGACAAAGAAGTTTAGGGGGATGGACAGCAGACTCACCCACGCCACTGTCGTCCACGGTGGGGTTGTCGATCCAGCGCTGTGCCTGCTCCGTCTTCCCCTCCAGGTGGACGGCGGCCTTCGCAGGCCGGCTGTTGGCCACAGCTTTGTTGGTCTTGGACTGCAGGTTCTGCAAGGCTGTTGCTATCTGCTTGGCCAAAGCTCGGGCCTCAGGAGTGTCACCTTTACCCCTATAAAAGAGACACATTTATTATAAAAGATACGGCTGAAACAAAATCTATGTAATAGGCAACATTTTCAAATATGTATGCAAAGGTTCCTTATCAACTTATGGCAGACATTGCTATGGTAGGCTGCTGTATAAATTTCACTGTTGTGTCTTTGAGCAACGAGAATAAAATAAGTAAGTCTATATGAAACCTGCAAACAGACACCAACAAACAAGGAATGAAGAAAGGAAAAATCAGAAAGGAATGAAAACAGACAAGACCATGGACAGGAAAAATAAGGAAAGAAAGGATAAAAAACACTAGAAAAGAAGGTAATCAATAAAGGACAGAATGAAGGATAGTAGGTAGTAAGGAAATACAAATAAGGAATGAAAGAATACCACGAGGAGGGCCCATAAGGAGGGAAGGACAAGAAAGAAAGAGATTGGAAAGTCAAATGAAAAAAGGATAAAATGACCAAAGAATGGGAGGATATAAAAGGAAGGGACACAAACAGCGACGGTAAAAGAAAAAGAGGAATGATAGCAGAAAGATGATGAAGCAAAAAGTGAAAGGAAGGACACAAGTGATGAAGGAAGTGAAGACAAGGAAGAAAGTGAAAATTGAAGGACACCAGGATAAAAAGTACAATTAAGGAATTAAAGAAGAAAATTTGCAATAAAGTCCCAACTCCAATTTATAAAACAGCTAATTTTCCCAAAGTCCTGCACACAAATAAGATGAATAAAAATTACTTGATAAATATAAAGTTACTCGAAATGCCAACAAAAGCAAAAGCTCCCCTCACGGGATCGAGCCGCACGTTTTGATGTGCATATTGTGAATGGGGCAGGCAGTGGTACGAGCCACATTAACGGTACTAGCAAGAGGCAGTTATTTTGAGGTGTAGAACAATAGGTGCCTGCCTATGCATTGCTATGGCAGGCCCCAATAAGGAAGGACACAAGACAAAAAGAAGAAAAAAGGAAGGGAAGAGATGACGAAAGAGAGGACAGTAAATATTTAAGTAATGATACAGAAAATCAGTTCTGTACCTTATAATCCCATTTTATTTTCTGTGCTTAACCAGAGCAGATATCAAGTTCCTAACTTTTCCAGACAGTGTAGGAAGCCTGTCTACAAATACAGGAATGATTTAACCTCTGGAAGAAAGTATGTGAGGAGCTGTAACTGTGTACGAAAATAGAGCAACTGGGTTTTTACTGAGACAGATATAAGCCCGGAGTAACTCACTGTCTTCTGAGTTCAGACAGCTTGGCAGTCATGGCGGCCAGCTCTCCAGCAGAGCGCAAAATCTCTTCTCTTTCTTTGGGATCCTCACACATGTCTGCAATCTTTCTGGCCTCATTGAGGAGGGCCTTAATATTCTCCTCTCCCTCTGGGCTGCCATGAGGGTCTGCAAGCCAGCCCTGTGCAAAGACACCAAAACCAGTCGAGCACAATGAAGAGACTGTCTGAATCTCCGTTTTGTGGACTCAGATCTGCTGACTCACTTGCGCAGCGTCGATCCTTTTGGCGATGGCCTGCTTGGAGTTGGTCATGGCCTCTAGTTTGCGAGCGGCGTTGCCAACCTTGCCGGCCAGAACGTCGAGGCCCTGGGAAACCTGCTGCGCCTTCTGCATGGCAGCCGGCGATGCTCCTTGACCTCTGGCGGGGGCAAAACGTGCAACGTCACTTAGCTTTTACACCACCACTGTTTAAACCTCGTAGTCTGGTTTTGGAATAACGCAGATCCTTGCAAAAGCAAAACCAGAGGTGGGTAGAGAACCAAAAAAAAATTGTACTTAAGAGTAGCCCTACTTCAACATATTTTTACTCGCATAAAATTAAACAATAGACATTTAAAGATCGAAATGACAATAATGCATATAAATAATTATAGAATGTTAAAAACTCTAGGTGTCTGTGTCTGGTGAACTTCTAATTAAAACAAGTCTGTTTTTCATTCAGTGAAGTTACTCACGGTGGATTGAGTATTCAGATATTTTACTCAACTAAGAATAGCGATACTTCATAATAAATGACTCAAGTAAAAGTAAAAAGTACAGCGCTGTAAAAATACTCCAGAAAGTTTTCCTTTGTAACTAGTTACTACCCAATTCTGAGCATAACCCACTATTATTCAGTATTTTAATTGGATTTTACAAGAAAGATCAGCACAGGAAAATATATGCCTGTCAATTATTTTTTTACAGATTAAAAATCAGCAAAATATTTAGTTTTTTTCCACTATTCCAATTATAACTGTGCACAACTTTGTGTTTGAGTGAAAGTATGGATTGTTCCTGCGTCTACCTTGCCCTCATCTCAGACACCTGGTCGGTCATTTGACCCAGAGTCTTGGCCGTTCCCAGGATGTCCCTGCGCTCCTTCCCAGCACAGAGCTCACCGACTTTCCCGGCTTCGTCCAGGATCTGACGGACGGCCTGCTCGCCGGCGTCCCCTGTAGGTCCAACAAAGCAGAGTAAGAGCCACCAATAATCTTCCTAGACGAGTCATAGAATCAACGGGATGCGTTTTCTGTCTACCTGGTGGAGCGTTTGGATCCCTCAACCAGCTTTTAGCCTGAGCCATCTTTGAATCAATCAGTCCCAGAGCCCTCTTCATGGCTTCAGTGTCCTTTAAATGGGAAAGAACAAAATTTATCTTCATTTCCAGATCATACCTAGTGTTTTTATTTTTCTCTTTGAATCATAATATGCTAATTGATAATTAGGAAATCTATTTTTCACTCACAGGCTTTCTATTTTGAGCCTGTTAATTGATCAGTGTACGTTCCTTATTGGTTAAACTGCTATTTTGGTTTTAGCAAAAGAAACATTTGTTAAAATCCATATGACAAGCATCATTACCATCCATCAGGCAAAACAATTCAAACCATGCAGCTTGCTTCATGATCAGCAGTCTAAATGGAGCATCATATAAAAAAAAAGAAAGCTAAATGTTGCTCATCTCTCTCAAAGTGGATGGAAATATAGTCCTTCCAGCAGCCACAGATTCAACAATGAGACCTGTCATTGTTGAAGTCCAAACAAAGCAGAGTCCTGTTGGCTGTAAAAGGATAAGTTTGCTTTCTTTTCTTGAGGAACAACAGAAATTAGGAAAACACATTTCTTCATACAGCAGCTCCAGTCTTCATGATTTAATCTCAGATGTAAATCAAAATTCTAACTGAGCGATTAAAAGGGTTCATATCAACGTTTCATAATTTGCACACACAGATTTCCAGAAATTGTACTTGTATTTTAAGGAATAAACTTTATGGATTTTTTTTTTTTATTCAACTGTTGGTGTCTAGCTTATGAGGGTTTCATGTTTGGATTTTCAGAAGAGAGAAAAAAGGGCAGATGGACAAACAAATGGAAGGATGTGTGGACAAATGAATGGAAAAAGGATGGCTGGAATAGATGAATGATGGACAGATTGTAGATGAGCATGAGTGGATGAGTAGATTAATATATGGATTACATAATGGAATAAGAGAAGAAAAGTCTAGAAATAAAAAGTTTTTCACACTCTATTCTCTCTTCATATAATTTTTTCCAGACCAAGCAGGAACCTGAATTTTAAAATAAAAACTGCCTAAATCTAGCAAGTTTATGTCAGCATCCTGTTTAGTGCATAGCGTGAGGTAAAGGCTGAGTAAAAAAAAAGAAGAAAAAAAAAAAAACAGGAAGTACAAAGATGTGACATGACTACGGAGTGTGGGTTTATTATTTTCCTGCTCAAACATTCAGTTCGCGCAGCTGCTTCACTGATGTAACTAAGGAGTTTGCCAGTTTGGAAAAAGCCGCATATGTAAACTTTAAAAGCTGACAGGAATTTTTCTGCAATGCCACTGATTGCATATCAAACTAAACTCAAGTTGTATGATTTGTCACATGTGTGAGTGATGGATAGCATAAACAATAAGAAATGTGCATGTTTAGTGTTCCTTTCCAAGGAAACTGGGCAAATATTTGTTGGATTCAAATAGAAAGCTTTCTGTGTGCATCCACCATCAGGAGAAACCTGATATCCATGAAAAGAAGATGTAAACCCTCGGAGAACTCTCCTTAATGACACCAAAATCAATACTGCATGACTCAGGTCAATCAATAAGGATGAGGCGGTGTTTAAGGGTCTCGCATGTTGATACAAACTCTTGATACAGAGCAAAAGAAACACTCCTTATATCAACACGACAGAAATTCAACCCTTAAGCTCTAAACATTAAAACTAACGTCTCTTAGTCTCATAGCTGTCTAACTGAAGCACACAGAGGCACCACAGAGCACAAAGCAGCTCACTCATCTGCAGACATGCTGCTGCACAACCAGGGCGTGACAGAGGTGGGGGAGGGGCTTACCTTCTACAAGGGGTGAAGTGAGAACAAACAGTGAAAAGAAAGGAAGAACAACATAAATGCAAGCATTTAACTAAACATACCAAAGAGGAGCAAGGAAAAAAAAAAAAAAAAAGAAGCGTCAACAAAGATGGAAGAGTTTCAGGAAAAACATTTCACAAAACTTTAAGACAGAAAAGAAGCAGGAAGCGCACTGATTACACAAGGACTCTTGATTCACCACCTGCACAGATAAGACATTTTAGACTTTTCTGCTACATTATCAATTATTAGTACAGCTCAATAAGCTAGAATGTCATTGAAAAATATACTTTGAGTTATATAATACAGAGAATCCCTACAATGCAAAGATCCAATACACAGAATGTATTTCAAGTGTTGATGTTAATGATTCTGGCTTACAACTAATGAAAACCCAAAATCCAGCTTTTTCAACACTTTTAATAAAAGACTAATAATAAAAAAAAGAAAGATTTTTAACAAAGGCTGTTGACTGCACAGCTGTTCAGCAGACAGTCACTGAGACTCTCCGCAATGAGGACGAGTTACGTGTTTTCTGTAAAATTGCCAGATTTTTCCCAGACTCTGGCTTCCAGACTTCTCGGTCCTTCCAAAATTCACTTTGAATTTAAGGCAAATATTTCTACAGTGAACAACCTTTAAATGCAAAAGAAAGATTAGAACAGACACAAAGGAGGAAAGTAAATATTTGAGGAAGTAAAGACACAAGGAAGGAACAGTGGAAGCCAGGATCATGAAAAGAAAACACGTTTAAAAAAAATTATAAAACTAGAAAAGCAAACGAATCATAATGAACTGATGCACTTAACAGAGTGATCATAATTAAACTTTTCCTTTTACAGTTAAGCTGTAAGCTCAGACTTGTTGGACCCACCTTGTTGGCCCAGGCATCTTCATCCCAGGAAGTGAGCTGCAACACTCTGATGATCTCATTTATCTCAGCGCTCATCTTCTCATAAGTGAAGTTTCGGTTCTTCAGGGCTTCCTCCACACCCTGGCTCCCAGATGTCTTGGTCGTCACAAAGATTTTTATACCTAACCGAGTAAAAAAAAATAAATAAATAAAAATCTCATCAACAAGAAACACAGGGCACAAAATAAACTTATGTCAAGACAGAAAGAAGTCAATGTGGTTACCTGAGATGAGGATGGGCAGCAGCTCTTTGACCGTATTCATGGAGTTGACCAGCATCACACGATGCTCCTGATGTGTGAGCTCCTGTTGGCGTTCATCGATCATCTTTGCCATCTTTGTCATACCTGTAAAGTGGACAATTTGCAGACTTTCTAGTGACATTTTCTTTGATTTTTTTTATCTTTTTTTTATTTTAATTAATCAAATGGTACTCTGAAATGTTCCAAACCGGGGCTGTGGTTTTATAACGTAACCCTGCTATAAACATTTGTAGGGCGGTTTGTCTCTGTTCCCCAGTCTTCATGATGCTGCAGACTGACCTGGGCCCAGATTCTTTGTGTATGTGATCAAGTCCTCCATTGACTCCACCACCTCTGCCACGCTCAGATATTCCAAGATGCCCTTGCACACACGGATTATTTTGCGGACCTGCGACAGTGAAGTGACGACAAAGGCCGATTCAGACACAATTCCGAGAAAGTACTGATTATGTAAACATGACTGGTCTCTTTTCCCTGAACAGATTCCCTCTAATTATACTCTGACAAGCTTCCTACTGACATTGTAACCACTTTGTTTGAAATCGCTTCAGTTCCACAGACTGCTGGAGTCACTGCTTTATTATCCAGCGAGGTCCCTGAGCTGCATTGCAAAAACATGAAGGCATCGCTGACTGATGACTCCTGCTGACTCCTGCAGACGTGTCAGAGTATTTGATATGTGATTCTAGAGCGCTGATCAGCAACTTCTCCCGTTCCGTTACTGTCCCTGTCCTGAAATGAAGGATGGGGCTGACAAATGCCACCCTTGTTTGATTCAGGGGTTTTCAGACAGAAATATGGAGAGGTCCTCAGACTTGTTTACTTACTTTTCAAGGGCTTTTTGAGGTAGATGCATAAGAGGCGAAACCAGTAAAGCTCTAATTTAAACTCAGCTCTTCAAAGAAGGGATTTATGATCATGAAATTTCCAGGCCAATTAATCATTAAATCGTTAGACCACTAGATCTGTAATCTTTGCAATCTAAAGAGTAATTTTTACCCTCAGTGCATCTAAATAAAACTCATTCAATCACAAATGTTGCCCAACCTTTTGAAACAAGACAACTTATAGTTTTTGATAAATATCTGCAACAGGAAATCTGTCATTTTTAAATTTCCATTCTACTTATAGAATGGCAATGAGGTGTTGGCATTTATGGAAAATTATGTAGAGAGGAAAAATATATCTAAAAAAAACCCGACACTGGTACATTTACTCTTATTCAGTTGTAGAAATTCAATGCAACTTTTAGAAAAAACCTGAAAACTACTGAAGTCTTCAGCATCTATTACATAAAAGCATCAGTTATCTGTGGCTCCTGCGCTGCAGGTTGTAAACCTCTGCAATTAGACAAAAATGGAAAGGACGAGGGCTTATAGCTACTTGTGCAACCAAAGTAAAATACTAGACTTAAAGGTCTCCCCCCTGATTTTACTGAGGGAAGTGGGCCAGACAGTTGAAGTATAAAATTTAAAAAAGAACAAACACATTAATGAATCGATACCTCTGCCTCATCAAAAGTGAGGAGCAGGTCAGATGTGCCAGACAGAATGCCTCGAGATCCATCGATGAGGTAATCCCGAGCAGGAACAGAGTATGGGTCGGCTTTCAGCATGGAGGCAGCTTGAACCAGCTTTGTGCAGGCATTCTCCACTCTGGGAAGCAGAAAGTAATTGATATGATAACCAGTTGGAGGAAAAGAAAATGTTTAGGAAGAGGTAGTGCTGATGGCAGCTCTCCAGAAACCTGATGAGTATCATCATCTGTCTGAAGAAACTTTGGTCCAAAATTGACAATTTTATTGTCTCTTCTTGCGTTGTTTTAATCTCATTCATGAAAATACAAAAATGGAAATGTAAAGCTCAGGAGTCGATACAAACACACAAAAGAATCTACATGAATCTGAAATTAAATAAAAGAAAATGCAAAGACTTGTTATCTTTGTATTGCAGGAATAAAAAAGTATTTTCTCTAGTTTTGTTTTTTCATTTAACAATTGTGAATATGACTTTGGATGGATAAAAACAGTGCAACTGTTATTGAAGCCATCCTGATTGCATTCTTTCCATCTTACAAAGTTTTTATAATACCAGGTACTCTTATAAGAAGGAAAGTTGTTTCACACCATTCACAACTATTTCTCAAATTAGATAGAGATGGCAGGTGTCATCATCACAATATGAATATTGCAAAGAAGCAACTGGAATCCAATATATTTTGCACAACAGTGAGATGTTCCATAAAATATTTCAGAAGTCATTTAAAAGTTCTGATGAAGTCTTTAAGGGACTTTATGGTTTTAGATGATGTGCAGCTGGAAGTAGCTTTGTTTGGCCTTCTATACTTTGGGACGCACACACACTCTTAAAAGAGTAAACCTTTCCCATAAAGTTTCCCAAAAAATTAAAACAGTGACACCAAAGACAAAGATGATTCAAGGTTACAAGAAATTACAAAAATCTCTTCACTTTGACTGCAATATTTTAAGAGCAGACTTATAAAAGCAAGACAAAAAACACAAACTCAAAGTTGATATTCTGAATTAGTCTGTTTAACATCAGCCTGCAGTTATCATGAGCTGCTTACCAGCGTCTAAGAATACATTGATTTTATTTAAAAAGTGCAGTTTCGATCTGTAGCAACTCTAGCCTTTTCTGGCTTGCTACAATGCACTGCTGGTCAGCTGGCTGAAAAAAGGCTAATACACCTTTCCTTCACTTGCAAACAAAGGACAAATTCAGAAATTTTTCAGGTCACAAAAAACAACAGTTGGTAATAGATAATTATCTAACCAAGAGTCAATAGGGGATTTTATTTCAGCAATATGTTTGATATCTTCCATCTTAAATGAAAGCAAGTAAATCATGCATACAGTTTATGTTAGATATTTGTATAAAAACGGTGTAACCCTGCCACTTAGCTGAAGGTTATCATGCCATTACAATCTCATAGCAGCCTATGCAGCTTTCAGAGGAATATAAATTATTCAAATAGTTCCCTCCTGGGTGCGATGTACCCAGTGATCCCCAGAGCAGCAAAATCTGCCAGCTCAGCTGAGTGATTCACTGTCATGCATGCCACCTGCATTGTACAAGCAGCGTGTCTGTGCATGGAAACAGGCAACAAGCCAAGGACCTGCATGTGTTCCAGTTCCCACACTTCCTACTTCTGCCTGGAGCAAACCGTAGGAAGACGTAAATTTTATGAGCGTTTTCCACATTTCGAAGCCAAACAGAAAGGGCTTTGCTTGTTTGTGTCTTTTCTGGCTTTTATATATAGACCAATGATGTCTTTGAGACTGATGGGGGTCTCTAGAGTTTGAGCAAGAAGTCTTTCTGCGTGCACCAGATTAAAAAAAAAAAAAGAAAAAAAAAAAGCCATGCAATCCAGGCTCCGTCTAGCACTATATTTAGTAGGGAGAAGGGTTTGCATTCCAGCACATGTGCTGATGGATGACGACAGGGTGACGAAGTGACTTTGAGGCGCCAAATGTGTTAAACCTGACGACCTGTGCGCGCCGATGAGACTCATCCCTGACCTTGGGTAGGGGGGCTGTCAGAAGCCCCCGCTTTACAGCTTTTTCCTCATGTAAAACAAAAAAAGTGGCTTTTTTTTTAAACATACATAAAAATACAAAAGCAGCATCGGAAGCTAATGACCAATATGGCCTTCCTCCTGGAAGGTAAAGCAACTAATCGCTTATAAAAGTATTTGAGTAACACCAGAGCAAGACTCGAGGCACTTAACATGCCACGTCTGACCTTTGTCTGGGCACAGCCAACCATTTCTGCAACAGATAAAGAAAGAAAGGAAGCCAGAGAGGCTAGGATACCACACTAGAGAGAAGAGAATTAAGCGTTATTTAATATTTCTGTGCCGATTTGCTGCTTACTTGATAAAGGCTGGTGGCATATCCCTTTTCATGATCTGGTCCTCTGTTGTTTGCACGGTATCCTTTCCAACCTGTAAAACACAGATGCATTGTAAATTAACCTGATGGAAATATTTATTTTAAGTCAGATCGGTAGCCATTTAATCCTGCCACATTTTGGTAATCTCAGTTTTTTCTAATCAAAGTAAGGTAAGAATAATTAAAAATCAAGCTAAAAACATCCGTCTCGTCATTCGTTGTTTATTTCTAGCATGGACTTATATTCTGGAAATTGTGAGGCAAACGCAATCCAGTGAAGTTGTGTAAAAGCCCTGAACAAAACTCAAAAACAGAGCCAACTAAAAGCAGTTTTATCTTCTGATAGTCTAAGGAAGTTGTTTGGAGACATTTACCAGTATGTAGATAACACTGCATATCACCATGCTAATAGTTCAAGCACTGAGGAAACTGTTGTGTTGTAGTTTTCTAGTGCATGAGGTTACATGGTTCGCTTGGTTCAGAGTTGATTTGCTGGAAGGTGACCCTCTGCCCCAGGCTCAGACCTGTTCCAGGCTTTATCCATTTTCTTCCAGAATTACTCTGATTGGAACCTGTAGAACCTTCTTTTGTCTCCACACACTGTGTTAGACATTATTAGTCAAAATCAGCTGTAGTCTCATTTGACCAGAGCAACTTCTCCCAGCTGTTTGCATTGTCCCCTACATCGGTGATCCTTAATCTCTTGTCGTTGGGGCCGACTGTCAAAGTTCATGGGAAAATGTGAGCAATACTTCTTATTGCTCACATTTCACAATGGCTTTGTTCTTCTCGGTCTTCCATGAAGGCCTGATTTGTCGAGTAAAAGTTGTCCTGTGGATTTCTGCAGGTTAACCACAGACCCCATGGTCCTCTTAGCCGCCCAAACTAAATGTTCTACTTCCTCTGCCTACCAGTTTAGGTCTGCAGATCTGCAGACTGATCATACATTTTACAATTCCAGATAACAGATTCAACTTAGGGATTTGAGTATTTTTGCAAGGCACAGTATTTGTAGAATCTGAGAACAAACTGCTCTTCCACCAAGGAAAGTAAAGAGCAACAATGTAAAGAGCAGCTGAGCACATATTCCAAACCGTTTCATGACCTCACATCTGGGGAGACAACTCACCCAAGTTAACGGATCGTGGTTGAGCTAACATGAGTCATACTATAAAGATGATTGTGATGGTATTAAAGTAAATGAGCTCATTCTCACTACAAATTAGCTCGTTTCCATTTATAACAATAAGCCCAATATCTCTCAACATGTCTAACTTTAACATTTTGGTGACGTACTTGAAAATTAGTGGCACATGTGTGTTTTAAGACATCAGTTTTAAAGCAATAAGTAGTCTGTATCAAAGTTGACCAAATTGTTCGTCTGCAGCAGGAAACAGACCATTTCCTGCTGATCATTCAGGATGTCATCTCTCTTCTACTCTGAGTTGCTTGTTAATAAACAAGCCTCCAGGCAGTAGCAGAGTCATTCCAGTTGGTTAGCATGGAGGCAGTGTTGAAGCAGAGCAAGCATGCATTTCTCACCCTGTTTTCACCGCGCTTCAGGGACCCTGAGGAACCAGGGGGTCATAAATTAGGGCTAAAGCTTGTGCCAAACTAGAGCTTAACAGAAGAAGCTGAGCCACCGTGATATTCCACTAATGAGTACTTCTAGCCTAAAGTCAGAAACCACGACAACAATCTAAGTTGTTTTGGCAGATTTAACTGCTTAACTCCCTTTTTGGGTGAGTATTTAAATATTTTAGGAATGTCTTCCGTCATTAAGAAACCATTTCTACGTTGAATTTGTGAGTAGATTTGCTGCAGAACATCTGATATTAGTTATCAAGAGTTCCTCAAATTATAAACAACTTACTCAAATGACAGGGGGCTTCAATGGATCTTATTGGGATTTTAAGACAGACCAACACAAACTAGTGGTTAATTGTGAAGGTTAAGTAAATGGACCTTCCCCCATTTACTCTGACCAACTTCACTGGTTATTTCTAACAAAAGTTTCCAATAAGCCGGCTTGTGACAGCCTAGAAAGACAGATGGCTTTTTGCTTCTCACTCCACCATAAAGGCCAGTTTTGTGTTGTGCATCACCAATAGTTTTCTTGTTGACAGATTCTCCCACCTAAGAAGATCTACATGTTCTTCACTACGGTTTTCTCTAACAAACTTCTGAAGCCTTACTGACCACTGGCCGAGATTGACTTTACAAATTAGATATTTATTAAAGGCAATCAGTTCCCCATGGTTTTATTTAGGGGTATTAAAATGCCCACCAGAATAAGACCATTTTTAAATGTTAAAGCATCGTGCATCTTTTTCTTTTCACTACCCCCAATTACACACTATTTAAGTTGCCGTTTTACAAAAGTCACACATATATTGAAGTGTATGATTGTTGCATGACAAAATGTAAAAGTTCAAGATGACTGAAGAGCACTTTAGAGATAATGATCTTCAGATAAACCAGCAATGCAAAAGTCAAACCACACTAACTGGCTTTTTGACCTTAAAGAAGTAGTGACACACTCGACTAAGAAGCTTGCATTTTCTTCTTTTCAGAGTTGAGCTAAGATAGCACTACTTCCAGTCAAGTTCAGACATGGTCTAAACTACATACTGGAGAAAAAAAAAGATTAATAGAGAACAAAACAGAAGGCTGAATGCAAGTTGCGTTAATGAGTCATGTTTTCCCAAAAGTATCATACAGGAACCTTTGAAACTGAGTAAATCTGAGGCTCAGTGTGTTTTCAACAGGTCATCATCGTCTTCCTTTTCCTCTTTCCTTCACAGCCGCTTCCTGTTGTCTGCAGAGCTAAAACAGTCAGCAGCTGCGGCCCATTAGGATTTTAATTTTTAGCCGTTGTTGTCAAGCAGCATCTGAAGCTTTTTACTATTCTGAGCCTCCGTCATGATTCCGGACCATGTACTCTAAATACCAAAAGCGGGTGACTTTGTCTTTATTAATAGTTCCACACATCCAAGAGGGATATTTTTAAACTACAAGAGATGTTGGGAGAAAAAAAATAATTAAACTCCTTGATTTGAAGGAGCAGAAATAACTAGTGAAGATGGGAAACTTTAAAGGGAGAGAAAGACCTGATGCAAGACACCACCCCAACCACACCAAAATACCATCTTCCCTGAATAGCATCATGAAGAGGCAGCTGTTCACTTCCACCTTCTTAAAACCATTCACAGACTCATCCTCTTGTTCCAAGCTGCCACACAGTATCAATGGCTGTCAAAGTCATTTACCATTTGTGCCTGGATTGGAAACACTGGCAGTCCTTTTACCACCCAAGAGTGCGAATGCAGAAACCCTGTGTTGTTGTGAAGTAGCTTGATAGAGTGGCTGCTCTTCTGGAACAGACTTGGCTTTGTTAACAGTGACCCATCCTTCTAAGAAGAGAATAAAGGCCACAGTGACAACCTCAAGGCTGCCAGGAGGACACAGACTGCCCTTTTACATGTTGGGAAGTTTGACACAATGCTCCAACAGTCATGGTGACCACAACGATGTATGATGGCAAGCATTGTTACTAACAGCGAAAAGGATTGATTTTGTGTTTCTGGCTGTTGGTAAGATTTATGTCTTCAAAAGCGAGGCAGTGATTCAAGGCTAAAACAATTTTTCAGTTTAATCGTGATTAATCAATTATAAATTGTTAAATTTAATAACTGATTGACAACTGGGATATGCATATTAAGAAAATAATCTCTGAATATGGCTGCTGAAAAAAAGCAGTACTATATATATATATATATTACCCAAAACTCCTCACATGGCATAGTTTTAACTTCAAATTCACTAAAGGAATGTTACTACGTTTTGGCAACAAGAATGTATTTTTTATTATTTATTAATTTGCATCTTAATGTATTGCTAATATCTTATTTTAAAAAAAGACTTAAGTAGTTAAATGAAAAATCTGTAAAATGTACCAAATTTTTTTTCATCCGATTAATCGCCAGAATAATTGATTCCTAAAATAATCATTAGCTGCAGCCATACTCTGATTATTACACTGCATCCTTTCATGTACCTTTAATCACCTTAGAGCCACTTTGTTTTTCATTTATTAAAATATCGATTGACCATTAAGGAGTAAGATGATTGAGAGGCTGAACTGAAGGTGGACGCCTTTATCACGAGTCTGTCAAACCCTGTCAGGCGTTATTTATTAATTTGGTTCTGGAAGCAGCAGCTCCACGCGGTGTGTCCGAGGTGATGAAAGGCACAAATCAAGCGGCCTCCTTGGCCACGGCAAAAACAGCTCCTGCAGCCCGGGAGAGTATGTCACGAGTATCTCATGTTGCAGGAGCTTAACAGCTCATCAAGTGTTGGGGAATCCTGATATCAGAAAGTACAGTCAGAGAAAATATATCCAAGCTGTGGATTTTCCCCAAAACAAACACGGCTGACAGGCAAGAGCAGCTGACAATTTTTGTTTTACATTTACTTATTGAGATAAGGCTGGTAATTTCAAATATAGACTATATTAAAAGTATCTTAAGATGATTGTGTATTATTTATTTTAGCAAAGATGATATGGAAACGAAGGAGCTGGTAACGTATACTGTTTCCATCCCAAGACAACTATATCAATAACTTTGCATTATTATGCCATCATTTATATATATATATTTTTTTTTTTTTTTTTTTGTAAAAACTGATTTATTCTCGTAGTTCCCAAAGTTGGAATTTTGAGGAATTAATAAGTCTGGAGTTATGAGATTTAGTGAATACACTTTCACTAGAGGTAAATGCACAGTACGATGTTTGTCAAAGATTTATTGAGATAAAAAGGTTCCACTATTTTACTGTGGCTTTAATCACTAACGATAGCCTTGTTGGATTTTGAGGTCAGGCCATAACAACCTTCCAAACCCCAAACTATGCTGTATTGTTGTTTTAAATGATCTGTCAGATTGCTACTTAAAAGTATGATACTTTGGTGTTAACTTTTATGGTACTACAAAGAACCTCAACAGTACCATTAGAAAGTTGGAGAACTACTGGACTATTTAATTTAGGCTCA